CACAAACCTAGCACAATTCAGCACAACTCTCAAAATAAGTTATTTCTAAAAGTGAGGGGCTAACTTCTAATAGGTGACAGCTAATACAGGATCGCGTTTAATTGAATATCAAATATCCCCCATCAGCGGGACATGATATTTGTATAGAATGGCACCGTTGAATTCGCGCGGACCGTAACTCCTTCCCTCGTGCCTTCGGATAATTTTCGCGAAAGCATTTCTCGAGCATTGTTAGACCCGGGCGAGAATGCAGCCCCCATTGCGACCCGCTTCCAATATCCGCGAAGGGCACTGACAGATGCGCCTGTACTGCAGCAAACCCCGACTACGAGGCAGTCACGAACGGCTGGTGCACCAGGCGACACGTTGCAAACGCAGAACGTGGTGAATGGGAGAGTTAGAAAGTTATTCGGAACGCGTCACCATTACCGCCGGTAACACGCCCCTTTTTGCGCCCAAATCAATTTCTTCCACCAGAATTCTGCGCTCCCTATTTTTTAATTCGAGATGTTCGTCGCGACCTTACACCCGGTCCAGGTGGCAATTTCCTCAAAAAAAGAGGAGCAGTGAGGATATAACAATAAAGAATGTAACTTGTGATTTATGTTAGATTACTGCTGTATTTTTTTTTTACATTACTACTTTGAAAATAGCAGAAAATATGTATGTATAAGAATGGAGGACAATGGAGAAAGATTGAAGATAACGGGGCCGCATGCATATGGTCGGTTTATAATATTTAGAGAGTTGTTTTTACTTGCCTATTAAGGTACATGAAATTACACGTCTGATAATGGCTTATTGTAATAAAAACAGATGGTGTAATATATTACTGCGGGAAGAACAAAAGTACAGTGAACATTCCCCATTGTTGTTCCCATTTCCATAGCACACACGTTGTAATATGTCATAGTCAAAGCCCGGTATTAATGATCACATACGTACTCAGAGACAATTACACATGATTTGTTAGGCGACTATAATTTAAATGGTACTACGAGAGATACTACAAATATTTTGCGCGTACAAATGGTCTGCAATCGATGGCCGATTAACGCGTGACGATTAAAGCGTGCGAGAAATGATGCCGCCGGTCTGTGTGTTATACTTTTTTCTCGTTCCGGATGAATTGATGAAGTGTTTGTATCCCGGCGCGATCGCAGGCAGCGTAGATCGCGAAAACGAGTTGCAAAATTCCAGTCGGTGTAGACGGCCTGCGGCCAAAGAGGAAAATCAAAAAGTTACACTTTTTACGCATGTCATATTTTTTCGATGACACTCGTTCAATCCTTTTCAATCAAAGTTGTTATTTTTATTTACGTTTTTATTTATTGCACTACACGCGTAAAGCTCGGTTAAAATGCGCATGCGAAAATCATCAGGTATCTTTTTTTTTTTTTTTTTTTTTTACGTATTACACAATACGATTGGAAATTGCATATTTATGTTCACGTGAAAAGTCTTGCTCTATTATAAATCAGACTAAAAAGAATTGGAATAGCATAGGAAATGGAATAATTTGAGATTGAGATAGAAAATGGAATAACATTTTTTCACAAACAGCACATAGCATGTTTTTTTATAGTATCTATTTAAAAAATATTACATACATGTACACTTTTTTACAAACACTTCTTGAATAATTATTTTAAGAAATATTACTTCTAGTTATAGAACAAATTAAAAAATTAACTACAAAAACTTAAAAATTTAAATTTTAGAAATTATATAGAAAATTTTTATTAAACCTCTATTAAACTGAAAACCTCTATTAAACTTTGACCATCAAACACCCATCAACAAATTTAGTACTATTTATGTGCTAATTTATTGCTCTAGTCCAAATTTTGTTTGTTCCTACCGTATAGCAGGAAATTGCGTTCAAAGTTGCGAGGGCCAGCTTGTCATTAAACTGGATCCCTCGTAATAAAAAAATATATTGATGTATCGGAAAAACAAATACACTAAAATTTATTGCTAATTTATTGTTCCATCATAGCGCAAAAACATATTAGAAATTCAATTTTTACGAAACAATATACCTACAGAATACAGCATCAAATCTGTAGTAAAAATATGAAAGAATCGAAAATAGAGCAATTAATTAACAAAAAAATAGCACTAAAATATATATTTTTTTATTGTAATTTCCTATTTTCTTTCTTTATAGCTGTACTAACTTTAATCTTACGCTAGCTCAGCTATTATTCGTATAACGAATCGGCTGGAGCAAAAGATCGAAAATAGAATAACAAATTAGCATCTAAATAGCACTACATTTCTTGATAGGTGCGAACTCGATTTGCAATGGTGGAGATTCCAGAGATAAATTCTTACTCTCTCATAATATTCAATTGGATTATTCTCCATTTTACAATTGTGCGCGGATAGATTTATTCGTCGCAAGTCCTACAAGATGGTATACGGGCGAGCAAATAATTAATGAGACTCTGTCGTTTCGTACTTACACGTATATTTGACAAAGTGCGACTCTTGATACAGTAAATAGTGAGTTGTTTGCGCACGGAAACTATCGTTCCGTCGAAAGCCACCGTATCGGCAGGAAAAGACCTCTTTTTCCCGACGAACAAAATGCTTTTCCCGCCATAGCGATAGCTTCGGGCGAGCATATACGGGTAACTATAGAAATAACGAATGTGTATGTATCTATGTAATAAAAATAGGTTCGTAAAAAGTCATCGGTCGGCCTGTACGCTGCCCGGGGATCGACATTTCCGCTTCCGGCGGACCAGACGACTAACAAACGCGAGTACAAAATAGTCTGCTCTGCTTAATTGACCGAATAACGTGGAAACGCTTTGTCAAACGATATCGCATAAAAGTATTGTAACGTATAAACGGTTTACTTATAACTATCATTAAACCATGTATGGGAGATGTACGAATCAAAGAGAACGAAAAATACGACACAGGTTCGCTTTTATACCAGAGAATTTTATTAATTGTCAAACTAAATAATGATAAAAGATGGGTGGTTAATGCTCAAGGTGTTAATTCGCTCGTGCGTATGCTGACTAGGTACATTTTTTAAATTTCTGGTTTGCCAAGTTCATTCTCACCTGATCATTAATGCGTAACTTATTTCTATCGTACAGTAGTGGATAAAAATAAGAGGTAAATATATATATATATACACACACACATACATACACACGTGAACTCTCCTAAATGATCTAGGTATTTATAACAAATAAATGTACACTATATTACAAAGAGAAAGTGACAAAATATAACGACTTATTCGTAATTAATTTCATGGTTCATATTAATTGACATTTGGTCGCGATTACGAGAGCACCGTTAAGATGCTTTCACGCATCGCGCAAGAGTTTCATTGAGACAGTCAAAATTTCTAATTAAATTAGGCAGACATCACACTTAATTAGACCCCAGATTCGATGAAATTACAAGCGTATTAATCTGATTGGACCACGTTCAAATTTTAATTATCCATTTAAGCTTACACCAGCTTGTCAAAAGCAACGATTGACGTTGATGCGCGTTTCCGAAATTCACATTGAGAAACAGCACTGACTTGCGATTGTACATTGACATGTGTGATGACTGTTGGGTCAGTTTACGTTGACAGCTAACGCGCATCATTCGGCGGTCGAATCGAGACGATTGTCTATCCCATGTATCCCGGGGATTGCGAGCACATCCTGGTTGAGCTTTGGAAGCTTCCTCGCGAGCCTGGCCATCTGGATTTGCCATTGAATCGCCCATGCATTCTAAAGCACCTGTCCTTACCTATCCCTCCGAAAGTTCAGCTGTTCTTCCCGTTGAGAAGGTGACCGAGGTTTTTTTTTTTTTTTTTTAGCTTTTTGACCGCTCGTTACCTCCGTCTCACCGTCGAATTAGGACTGCTGAAAGTTAAAGGCGAAAGGAACGTTAGTTAATTTTCCGGGTGTCATATTTCGGATCGTAGTCGTGACCGAGCCGGCAACCGCAAATCGAATCGCGGAAATATTCATCGCGCGAATGCCGCACGGGAAAATGAGGATGTTTGAGAATCGCTAATAATCGCGGATTGACTGAATAACGGCTGTTCATTTATTAACCGCGTACTATGCCTGCGGTTAATAAATAGTGGCGTCGTAAACATACAGATAAATAATCGAGCATAATTTACCGTAGCCTTAATTAAAGCGAATAGAAAAAGTTCTTTTTGCTTACGCTGAAGTTTCTAAATTAAAATTAAAACATTTTTCTCGATTATGTCAGTGTTGCGATAAAATTGCGCGAAATTAATTTTCCCAGGTAGGAAAGAAGTCTTTTGTTTGCGCATAAGAATGTTTTACCGTTCCTCAGGCGAGATAGATGTGGCTCCGCTTTGAGCGCGAAGAAGAATAAGAGAGTTTCATACGCGGGCTTAAGGATCGTCTTAATATTCTCGCATCGTGAACGTAACGCTTAAAGCACTTTACACCCCGCAGCAAGTCGTATTTGTTCAAAGGGCTTTCAAACGGTTGTAAGCCGAGCGCAGATAAAAATCGCAGTCCTCGATCACGATGAAATAAGGAGGTATGTGAGAATAAAATACAATATCGTCGGGACGAACGGCTTCTTTCCTTATCCACTTTAGAGCTCGCGCATCGGCGATCGGGATAAACCGACGACGTTAAATTCAGCTCTCCGGTAACGTCCCGTAAAACCAGTTTTACTGAACTTCCTTGCCCACCTTGCGATTTATCGTCGACCTTTATGGCCGGCCCTTACAAGATAATTCCGCGTCATGCGAAAAATCTTGATGCATGGTGGGCATGGCGTTTACATGATAAAGCCACGTGAGCCTCGTTTCTCCCGTTTATTTTAAGGGAGGTCATTTAAAGTCGCACGAAAATGGCCGTTAATTTCGCCGAAACGTCGTTAACGAGAATTATTGCTGAAACGGGACAGGGTTTCTTGTTACGAGAATCGCACGCGTATCTTACTATATTGTTAGGAAATAGAAACGGAGTTTCAATTAATTAATGTTACTTCAATCGTATTACAGAAGATATAACAAGAACTATACTAAATGAAAACAATTTGACACACAAAAAAATAAATATTGCCGTTTAATATAAATTAAATATTTTCCCTGTAACATTTAATATATTTTGAGATTATATTCAATATGACATTTTTTTGAATTTTATACAAAGTGTTTCCGATTTTGAGAAAATTAATTTTATATATATAGATTAAATATTGCAATTCATTTTTTTTTTGTACCGTTAATTTGTACAGTTTAACTACTTTGTAATCATCAAGAAAGAATCAACAAGTCAGTATATTACAAGCCCTTGTCAATCGTCTGTTTCGTCTTACCTCCGTTTTGTGAATTTCCACGCTGTTAAGCGCGACCGCTTCGGGCGCGGAGTCTTCCTCTTCAACTTTGTTTTCGGGAACGCCGAAAATGGTTCTGTACATGAAGGAAGAAATCAAAGCGCCGCCGAGCGGACCGAACCAGTAGACCCAATGATGCGCCCATTGATTATTCCATAACGCTGGTGCGAATGATCTCGCGGGATTCATGCTGCATCCGGTGTAGGGTCCGACCGCAGTTGCCAGCACGGCCACCGTAAGGCCGAACTTGATCGGCACCGAGTCCGAATTCTTCTCGTTTCTCACGTCCCAAACTGAGCACACCACCAACATTAAAATGGCAGTCGAGATGCCTTCGACAACCAAGCCCTGAATCGCGGACACATCGGCGTGCAGATCGGTCACGCAAAACAAATTTGCTTGATCGGCCGTGGTAGCTGTCAAATTATCCTTCGGCGTTACCACCTATAAGAAACATTATTGAAATATAGAGGCAACATTAGATTATTAGAGATTACATTCGATTTTAATATTCGAATACTTTTTCTAAATGAAAATAAGATTTTTTTTTCTTGTATATATATATATATATATATATATATATATATATATATCTTGCTTATTTTGTGTGATAATAAGAGATTTTACTATTTATAGATAAAAATACCAGGTTTTGCTATAAATAAAAAGTAAATCAAATGCTGATAATAGCAGCGTTGTTTTTATTTACATGTTATTGGAAATGTATAAAGAAAGCAATATATTATTTTATACAAATAAATTTACAATGAATTAAAAATACTCATTATTTATATGAACAAATATTTTGATAAAAATTTCGAATATATTTACTCATTTATCACATGTTTTTTTTTTTTTATAAATTTATAAATAGCAATTGATGATAATTATTGCAAAAACGATAATAAAAGTATGGCTTCAGAGTAACGACATTAAATGTATATGAAATATTATTTATGTCATATTTTTCTGCCTCATTTTAAAATATTTTTGCTCTTTCCTTTTATCAAAGTCATCATTCATTTACGTGACTCGTTATTTCCATAATGAATCCATGTTTTCCGCGATCAATGAACTCTGAGGAATGCATTTTTCAATTATAGGAGAGGAAAACAATTGTACTATTCTGCTTTATCTGGATTGCCTCACCGACATTTTGCTGAGAGAAACAAATACCGCGATGGTAACACTTTCCTCTAATGATACGAAATCATTAATTATTAATTATTAATCGAACAACACGTGTACTGATTAAACAAAGATCTTGACCGCGTCTCATCAAAAACTGATAGAAACCAATCTGGAAGATTGCCGACTTATTTTATTTCGCTGTGTAAATCCTACAAATGTCGTCAGTATATCTGTCTTGCTCAATAATTGTTTCCTTTCAGATTGAGATAGCATCGAGTAAAATGCTAATTTTATTATATAGACATTTTATTAAAATCCACATTCCTTGTCATTCTGGCGATGTTTAGCTTAAATTACGACAGCGGATTTTTCAAAGATCGCCATATGTGTAGATCAGAAAATATCTTTATGTAGATTTCTATATTTGAACGCGGCAACTTCGATCGCCCACTCTATTATAAAATCCTGCGTCACATTTTGTTTTTATTATTATATATAAAAATAGAAAATCTCGAACGAATAACGTAAAAAATTTGAAAAAAAGCTCTGTATTAAATAATTTATCTAAAAAAAGACGGGAATAAACGCTTCATGAATTCGTTTCATGCATCATAAATTTTACTATAAGCGACTATAATATTTTACATGAGATTTAACATAAAGAATTTTTTTGCTTTTTCCTAAAGAAAAAATAATTTTAAATTATATACTTAATTATATACTTCTGTTTATATCAATTTTTTTATTTTCAAATTTATCTTTATTGATCGCAATGCTTGCGACGATTATGCGGATCAATATATACTTTTTTTATCTGTACATAATTAATTGTAATTAATTCAGCGAAAGAATAATTGGATTTTCTTATACCGACCTTTAGCATACCATAGCCCAGAATGCCACCTATTACTTGCGACACAAAGTAAACTAAAGCCTCGGGAATGGTTTTTTTCCCAAGAATGACAGATCCTACGGTGATCGCTGGATTAATGTGAGCTTGACTGATGTGGCCGATGCACTAAAAACACAGAATCAGAAAAAAATTTTTAATTGTCAATGCGAATGCTGATATTGTGCTTTGCTAAAACGCAACAATAAAATTCGAATTATGAACAAAATTACGAGATGAATAAAAGCGAGAGAAATGCCAGCTGCGTATTAGAAAGATTCGCGCGATTTTCTTAACGCGAATCGCGACACGATTTCGCCATGTTTCGCTTATAACCTGGTTTGCGAGCGAAAGGCGATGTGTAAATATAGTACAGACGAACCTTTGGTGTGCGATATTACGTGTTTCGTGTGACGTGATAAACATCTTAAATAAATAATTTTAATTAGGAATATGAAAAAACTAATTATAATGAGTTTAATTTTTAATATTAAAAAGAAGTATATATCACATATAATCATTGTTTTTCAATTATCGTGGATAAAGCATAAAAATGAATAGAGATCTACATATCTCTCTCGAGACACATATATGCCGGAATTATATTGCTTTGAATCAACTCGAGCCGACAATATTACTTAATCATGAAAATTGTACAGAATGCTCGCCATATGTAATTGTTATTGCGGTCATTGTTGTTCATTTGGAATATCAAGCGTTAAGCTTTTCACATGGAAGTTTACAATGATATAATATGACGAATTAAATACTATAATTAAATACTATAATTTTATTACGGTAATATAATATAATGCAATAATATAGCGTAATAAAATGTAATCATACTATTATAACATAGTGTAGTAACAATTATATAATTGAAATATAATTAATATCATGATACAAATCGTATGCTACAATTTATTGTGATGTGATCTTTTAACGTGCTCCTGATTCTCCAAGAAAGATTATAGAGGACGTCATATATAGTATAATATATAGCGTCTATGATTCTTATCAAATTTGGAATGTCGGTAAAGATGAGATAACGGTCCACGAAGTTTCCACGATTACCTACTGACCTGAATCACAACCATAACCGCTAAACCGAAGGTTAACGTTATCTGTAGATGTGGAGGCACAACGCCGAGACCAGCGATACAACCCATACATCCTAGAAATACTAGAAGAGCTGTGCCAATCAGTTCTGCCAGTCCGGCGATGAGAGTAGTCTTCACCTTGCTCTCTCCTTGCACCCATCTCTTTATTCCTGTAAAACAAAATTACTTCATTAAAAATAAAGAATCATACATTTTTTTCAATCCAATCGTAAAGTTATAAATATGGCAGTCCACATATAATAGCAATTTTTTTCTACACAAAAAATTAAATAATACCAGTCAGCATTATTTAATATAATTTCAATTTTGTCATCGCTCTCAGGTAGATTTTCTCAGAGAACTGTCTTCTTTAGGATATTCGCGTTTCACAACATTCCGTTTTTAAAAGATATTGCGTCATTACATATGCTTTGTTTGTTCCTCCCGAATTGTTATTTATGGGCCGTTTTTTCAGGACGAATATCTCAATTTTGACGGCAGCTATCATTCTTGCGATGTCACAATCGCGTGATAACATTGAAACGTTTCTTAATTATAATTGCGACACTTGCCTCTTGCCTTACGACGATTCCGCCACATTTTCCACACCGTGGCGACGTGCAAACAAACGCGCACGACTCGTGAGTACTACTGACGGAGTAACTTTCACGCAGATACCAGCTTGGTATCGCCACTCGAACAAGGCCAACACGCGCGACACGTTACCAGTAAGTCGATTTTGAGGAAAAAAAATAGAGCTGCTCATTTTGCATTGATGCAAATGTCTCTTTGCGTCGAGCGGAAATGAAAGATAATTAAATCGATTGATTATCTACGTCGGATTCTACGCTACTGAACCGATTTCACATATCGCTGGAACTTGATGCGAAACTCAGTCTGACTTTAATTTTGAAGGATATTTTGCGAAATGTGTCGTCTACGCTGTACTTTCTATAGTCTTAAAGATTGCAAACTCGTAATTAGCGTGGTCTACTTTCGGTACATGAAGTCGCAATTTAAAATAGACTTCACATTCATGGAAACTTACTGCGCTACTTTTGAAATTCCATCATTTTGTCCTATCATACTAATTTTGAAACTGTGCGTTTATATAAAACTGATTTTCTAAAATATTTCAAATAATCATATATTTCTTTTTTTAGAGATGTAATTTTTTTTATCCATTAAAAAGAACCTTTGCCGAATAATAGCTCTTGTAAAAATGCGAACGAAAATGATTTTTTTTTTATCTATCTTTCTCATTGATAAAGAAACGAACGTCTTATCGCCTGGTACATACGATGATAAAAAAATCATATGTGCTTGCATGATTTACGTGAAACATTATAATTTACCAGATTAACTTTACCAGAATGATATATTGTAATTAACATTGTCACGTAACATTAAACGTAACGTATCTGTGTATCTTTCAATATTGATCTTCTCTTCGCATTCTCTCACGTTCCTTAGTCAATTTGATAAGAGGAATGTAAATTGTCGTAATTCCTACGAACGTCGATCAATTATGTTAAGCAATATCGTTGAGAGAAGCTGAACGCAAATATTTTATACTGCATTCTAAGTGCATAATTAAGCGCATAATTAAACCGGGGCAACATTGAAACGAATAATTTAAAATTTTTCGAAGAGTCAATATAAATATTGTACATAATTAAGCTGTTTTATTAAATTATAATATCAAATTTAATTGAATAATTATTT